AGGAGATCATACAGCAAATAGACCAAGCAAATTAAATTTTTACTCGAAAAAAGTCCTATCCGCGAGATTATTGTTAAATTGTCTAAAGGAACATAATACAAGACATCTCTCAACTCGTGTCAAAAACTTTTATTATTCTATTTAAACAAATAAGTGAGGAAAACAGTTTCTTCACTTTGCAGGGAAAACCATCAATTTTAGCGAAAAGTGACTCACAGACAGCTTATAGGGAGTAAAATTATCTACAAAATGAGACTTGTTAAATTAAAATCGGTTAATAAACAAAAAAGTTATTGCAAAAAAACAAGAAAAGTGCCCAAATTTTAATTAATATTTCGTTTAACAATAATTTTTGTGACATTTTTGTAAATTAAAAAAATGTAAGTATAAAAGATGCATTTTTTCTGGGGTTCAGGGCTATTCTACGAATTCGTAAATATGCCCATTATTATTTTTTCGTCGAGCTACTCCAGTTTAACACAAAAAATAAGTTTCTACGATGAATGAACATTCTTCACGGGATTTTTTTCAATTTTTCAATGCAATTCACGGGAAATCGTAGTTTACGTCGTAAACTTTATTTTGCGAAAAATTCAAGTCTTAATATTTATAAACAATTGCGCTACGATTTAAAAAAAATTCTTATCTTGGCTCCGGTTGGTCATGGAGGGACCTTTTTTTATTTTAAAACTGTATTTTTTTGCCAGCTATCCATTGCATCTATTTTCGGTGAGATGGCATAAATAGCAACAATGTTATTCAAATTGTTTATAAGCGAAAAACGCACGGTTTTTTAATACACAATTTGAGAATGTTAATGTCAAAAAAACGGTGATATTTTTTAATAGGTCGCTTAATTATGTCTTTAAGATTACAATGACGCTTTCAGAGCGCCCACTTATTGGTCCTCATCAGTATGTCCCAGCTGTTATGCTAGGTGTTGCGAGTATAATTCAATGCCAGTCGGGGCATAGGTATAGCCCGCGGAGTAATTGTTTCTCGCAACACTGGCAATTTAAAACATTTTGTTTTCGCCCAGTTGGCGACGGTCGTGTAAGTAAGTACCTGACAAATTTTAGCAGGCCGCCTCCTACTGGTAGTAGCCATTAGATTGGCGTAGTTGGGAAGTAGCGCGATAGATGGAGCCATTTGCGCTCTGTGTATAACCATTTAGGAACATCCTCCATCTTGAAAAATGTCATCCTTCAACGTTTTTTCTTCTTAAATTTTTTATTGAGGGACAAAGAAACACTTCATTAACGTTTAATTTTATTTACGGACAAATGTTTTTAATCTTGCATCGGGAATTTGTTTAAAAATGTTTGTATATGAACATTGTTTTTAGTCTGGCCTAGGCTGAAGGGTGCTAACGAATTCGACTGAATTTATCGCAATTTTTACATATGGTCACGAACCAAATGCCATTTATTTAGTTTCGATCGTGATGTAACCTTCCAGCTTTTCCATATTCACACAAAATCGTCCGTTGGTTACCTTTTTTGCATTTTTAAGCAAAAAATCTGATAGCTGAATTAAATTCCGTACGTAACAATTTTTACTAATAAGAAAATTTTATTTGTATACACCATACAAAATGGTTCTTTCAGTAACTAAATTTTCTGTATAAGGAAAATAATTCACCATATTGAGCTATCTTATAACAAACGATAGTCTGTGTATAGAGCGGTAGAAAGTTTAGTCAAACAGTAATATCCAGCGTTAAACGCGGTTCATTTAAAAAATATACGGGAAAACTATTGAAAAAATCGAAATTTTTCATAGGAACAATTTTGTAGAAAATTTAATTTGCAACAGCCTTTATTTTAAATTTTCTTTCAAAAATATGCATCATCATTGAGATATAGGCAGTTTTTGCTGAAAAAACTCGAAAAGTCATATATACAGGGTGATTTCACTTTAAATACAGAAACTGCAGGCTAAATACATTACCAAAAAATAAGTAGAGTTTGCTCTATATACTACAGGGTGTTAAAGTTTTCAAAAAATTATATTCTTTCTGCCATATCTTCATAATGCGCTGATGGAATTGAATGCAATTTACTACAGCATCTTCACTTTTATTGAATGTAATATTAACCTTGTGGCTTTAACCAGTGGCGTGCTACTGGAGCACCATTTTTCTAAGAAATAAATACGACACTGGCGTTTTTTTTGTAGAAATAATGTTACATTCAGGTGCTGTTACTAACTGATAATGCAGACAAAAGATTCAGTTTTTGCTGATAGATTTTAAACAAATTTGAGTAGGTGAAAATTTACGCATTATGGTCGCCAAATAAGTAAATTATCTCCTAAACGGCTGCTGCTATTGCTACCAAGAATCACTTTTCATTCATTTAACGTAACAGTATCTACAATAGAATTGTAACACCCTGTATCTCGAATACCACGTCCCTCAGGAAGAAAGTTTATGGAGCAAACTCTACTTATTTTTTGGCAACAAATCTATTCCTGTAGTTTCTATATTTAAAGTGAAATCACCCTGTATATGTCTATACAGGGTGATTTATTAACAATGGAAAAATCGAAAGCTGAAGATACTACACGTGAAATGGTGACCATTGGCGCAAACATGCATTATCCGAAAGTTAATAGTTTCGGAAATACAGGGTGTTGAAAGTTAAAATTTTAAATCGTTTTTTGCGATTATTCTGAAAATATGTAGGTTAGGAACTTGAAAATTTGTGAGACTATATTTTTTTAGACGACGAATAAGATGCGTGTTGTAATTTCTGCATTGTTAATAGAGGGCGTCACTTACGACCAATTTTACCGAAAATTTAGTTAATAACTTTTTACCCTGTATATTTAACATGAAACTTGATTCAAAACTTGAAAGAGCTATCATTTTTCCATTAATTATGTACTCTTGTTTCATTTCGGTATCTCGATTCGTTTTCAAAAAAAATCGATTTAACGAACACTATGTTTTGATAATATGAGAAATAAGCGAAACAAACCAAGTGTTTCTTCTTGTTGTTACAACAATTAATAATAAAACAAATGAAATTCGTAATAATGATTTAAAGTCAGTGTCGAAGTCGAATAGAATCCACTGTTGACATTTACACACTTTACACAAAAGAATAGATTCTTCCAAATAGAAACATGAAGAGGATTGAAGTCCGGACTTCTGGGTGGCCAAGTAAAAATGCTTCCACGGCTTGAAGGCTATATTTAAGAAAAGGCATGTGGTTCATGCACGACGGAGCTCCACCGCATTTTTCTTGGCCAGTACGTGCATATTTAGATGCAGTTTTTCCAAATCGCTGGATTGTCCATGTAAGCATTTTTGCTTGGCCATTGAGAAGTCCGGACTTCAATCCTATTGTTTTTCTATTTGGTCTCGAATGAAAGATATAGTTTACAAAGAATCTATTGGCTCGTGCGAAGAGTTGTGGCAAAGAATACAAATCGCTGCCAACGAAGTCAGACTCAATCCCAATATGTTGTTTCAAACTCGAAGATCTCTCAGAAAACGTTGTGTAAAGTGTATAATTGTCAATAGTGGATTATTCGACTTCGACACTGACTTTAAATCATTATTACGAATTTCATTTGTTTTATTATTAATTGTTGTAACAACAAGAAGAAACACTTGGTTTGTTTCGCTTATTTCTCATATTATCAAAACATAGTGTTCGTTAAATCGATTTTTTTTGAAAACGAATCGAGATACCGAAATGAAACAAGAGTACATAATTAATGGAAAAATGATAGCTCTTTCAAGTTTTGAATCAAGTTTCATGTTAAATATACAGGGTAAAAAGTTATTAACTAAATTTTCGGTAAAATTGGTCGTAAGTGACGCCCTCTATTAACAATGCAGAAATTACAACACGCATCTTATTCGTCGTCTAAAAAAATATAGTCTCACAAATTTTCAAGTTCCTAACCTACATATTTTCAGAATAATCGCAAAAAAACGATTTAAAATTTTAGCTTTCAACGCCCTGTATTTCCGAAACTATCAACTTTCGGATAAGGCATGTTTGCGCCAATGGTCACCATTTCACGTGTAGTATCTTCAGCTTTCGACTTTCCCATTGTTAATGAATCACCCTGTATATCAAATCGCTCTATGTTGTTAGTGGTTCTGTATGTAGCACATGATTTCTGACCTTAAAACTGACACTTTTCTATAAAAAAATCTCAGAGTAAAAAGATTCGCTTATTCCGTCTTTTTATGTCTAATTTTCCTGGACAATATTGTCAGTATTTATTTCAAAACAAGTATTCTTCTAGCTTCATATGAATGCAGACTTATAGTAACTTTGTAAATATTTGTCAACACATTAACTGCATTGGATCTAAATCAGTGGATTAGTAACTAACCAATTTTTTTAAATTCTCTGTACAAATGTCACTTTTGTTAGCAAAAGCAGAGACACGTACAATTTAATTAAGCTGTCAGTTATTTTCTTTAAAAAAAGTCTTAGACGATATTCCGATTTTTGGCAGTTTTTTAATACAGTAAGCTATTAATTGAAATAGTATTAGAAATTACACATGGTTAGATTTATCGGTATTTCATACTAAGTTAGGTTTACTACATTATTTGTCGAACAATCTCAATTTTGATATTATTCCAAACAGTTTCATTCTGCATGTAAAATAATTGATTGTGGTAATGGTATTTTAAGGGGCGGTATCCCTAAAGATGACTTTTATATACCAGGAAATTTCCTTCTACACTTGCTTTTACCGACTCTTACCTGCACCCGTCTACCAATTTCAGGCTTGGAAAATTACACCCGGTGTAATAGAAAATCACAATCATAAATTTCTACCTATAGCTATATCCAAAAATAATGTAATAAAAAATATTTATTAAAAGGATGGTAATTACTAAATACATAAACTGATTGCAACCAGTTAACGCTCGAACTGTCTCATAGTAGAACAGCAACGCTTTACTTTTTATTTGGTGAAAGTCACTCCTCCCTGTCGGGAAAGAACACTTTTCTATCGCCTGATAGGAGTTTTTTGCATACGTGAAGGAGATGATAGACTGGATGTCGTACCTGGCGGTGGTTTCAACGCTGTGTTTCGTCAAATTCTTCGCCATGGGACCCGGAAGCATTCCTTGGATGATCACTGCCGAACTTTTCTCACAAGGACCTCGTCCAGCCGCCATGTCAATTGCTGTGTTAGTCAACTGGATAGCCAACTTCGTAGTGGGGATAGGATTTCCTAGTATGATGGTGAGTGATCAAAGTTCTACCAATATTGTTGTTTAAGTGTACCTAGGCCTGGAAAATAAGCTGCGAAATGACCATTTCGCGACTTTTTGTTTCGGCAAGCTGAATTTATCACTACAGATGCTAAATATTATGTAAAATAACATATTAGATTCCACAGTCATAAAAATGGGAGGAATATTGTTTACAGGGTGATTAATTGTATAATTTTTACGTAAATTCAGGTTTTTCGCTTATAACTTGTTTCCGTTCATTTCCACGAGAAAACAGTAAAGTACTTTTTTTCGTCTTCAAAGACCTACAAAACTAGCCCTCGAGCGTAAAAAATATTGATTAGATCAAAAGTTATAAACAGAAGAAGTTACCAGAACGTTTTGGCATCGCATCCTCTCATTCCTTATCACTGTCTAGTCTAATAATTCACACGAAATCTGGAATCGGTAAATTGAATAGTTTACAAGGTATGGTCTTATAAACAAATTAACTAATTATTAGTCTGGACGATCCCGAGAATCTTCCNCGACTTTTTGTTTCGGCAAGCTGAATTTATCACTATAGATGCTAAATATTATGTACAATAACATATTAGTTTCCACAGTCATAAAAATGGGAGGAATATTGTTTACAGGGTGATTAATTGTATAATTTTTACGTAAATTCTGGTTTTTCGCTTATAACTTTTTAACGTTCATTTCCACGAGAAAACAGTAAAGGACTTTTTTTTCGTCTTCAAAGACATACAAAACTAGCCCTCGAGCGTAAATAATATTGATTAGATCAAACGTTATAAACAGAAGAAGTTACCAGAACGTTTTGGCATCGCATCCTCTCATTCCTTATCACTGTCTAGTCTAATAACTCACACGAAATCTGGAATCGGTAAGTTGAATAGTTTACAAGGTATGGTCTTATAAACAAATTAACTAATTATTAGTCTGGACGATCCCGAGGATCTTCCACAATCACACTGATTTTTTTCACGGTAGATTTCATAATAATACATTGAAATCTATAATTTTTTTTTAATTTCGAATTTGCAACCTGGATTTTTTTTTATTTTTTAGCCTTAGTTACAAAATGAAATATACGACGCACGAGTGTGATATAGTTACATAATCGGAAAGTTTATGAAAAGAGCTTTAAGTTAAAAAAGAAATCGTCAAGATTCGTTGAAAAACAACGGAGTTACAGACTGTCAAGTTGACGGCCTATTGTTAAACAAATTAGGTTGGTAGCGGCAGAAAAAAATACTGTCATAACCGGCAACCCGAGTACTTTCCCAGATGAAAATATTTTATTTGTGGAAGTATGTTAAGTGCATAAGAAATATTGTCAAAAGTCAGTGGGTCGCTTGATTTTTCGGTGAGCCATGCCGCGACGGAAGGGTGGGGGAAGCGAACGACAGCGAGTCCGAAGAAAATGACGATAATGTTCATAGACCTGCCGTAACTTAAAGCTCTTTTCATAAGCTTCCTGCTCGTGCGTCGTATATTTCATTTTGCAACTAAGGCTAAAAAATAAAAAAAATTCCAGGTTGAAATTTGAAATTTAAAAAAATATATAGATTTCAATGTATTATGATGAATGAAATTTACCATGAAAAAAATCAGTGCGATTGTGAAAGATCCTCGGGATCGTTCAGACTAATAATTAGTTAATTTGTTTATAAGGCCATAACTTGTAAACTATTCAACTTACCGATTCCAGATTTCGGGTAGAGGATCCGATGCCAAAACGTTCTGGTAATAATAACGCGGTTTATAAATGTTTAATTCAANTTACCAGAACGTTTTGGCATCGCATCCTCTCATTCCTTATCACTGTCTAGTCTAATAATTCACACGAAATCTGGAATCGGTAAATTGAATAGTTTACAAGGTATGGTCTTATAAACAAATTAACTAATTATTAGTCTGGACGATCCCGAGAATCTTCCACAATCACACTGATTTTTTTCACGGTAGATTTCATAATAATACATTGAAATCTATAATTTTTTTTTAATTTCAAATTTGCAACCTGGATTTTTTTTTATTTTTTAGCCTTAGTTACAAAATGAAATATACGACGCACGAGTGTGATATAGTTACATATTCGGAAAGTTTATGAAAAGAGCTTTAAGTTAAAAAAGAAATCGTCAAGATTCGTTGAAAAACAATGGAGTTACAGACTGTCAAAGTTGGCGGCCTATTGTTAAACAAAGTAGGTTGGTAGCGGCAAAAAAAAACTGTCATAACCGGCAACCCGTGTACTTTCCCAGGTAAAAATATTTTATTTGTGGAAATATGTTAAGTGCAGAAGAAATATTGTTAAAAGTCAGTAGATCGCTTGATTTTCGGCGAGCCGTGGCGTGGCAGAAGGGTGGGGGAAGCGAACGACAGCGAGCGAAGAAAATGACGATAATGTTCATAGACCTGCCGTAACTTAAAGCTCTTTTCATAAGCTTCCTGCTCATGCGTCGTATATTTCATTTTGCAACTAAGGCTAAAAAATAAAAAACTTTCCAGGTTGCAAATTTGAAATTTAAAAAAATATATAGATTTCAATGTATGATTATGAAATTTACCATGAAAAAAATCAGTGCGATTGTGAAAGATCCTCGGGATCGTTCAGACTAATAATTAGTTAATTTGTTTATAAGGCCATAACTTGTAAACTATTCAACTTACCGATTCCAGATTTCGGGTAGAGGATCCGATGCCAAAACGTTCTGGTAATAATAACGCGGTTTATAAATGTTTAATTCAAAAGTCATAAATAAACTTCTTCTGTTTATAACTTTTGACCTAATCAATATTTTTTGACGAAAAAAAAAGTACTTTACTCTTTTCTCGTGGAAATGAACGGAAAAAAGTTATAAGCGAAAATTTACGTAAAAAATATACAATTAACCACCCTGTAAACAATCTTCCCCCCATTTTTATGACTGTGGAAACTAATATGTCATTGTACATAATATTTAGCATCTATAGTGATAAATTCTGCTTGCCGAAACAAAAAGTTGAGTCCAACTCTAAATTTCCTGGCCTATACCAGTCAAATGCGATTATCAAAAATGAGAATACAGAGAAAAACTAATACGTTATCGAGCTCGATTTTTAAGACAAATTCAACTGTTAAATCAGGATCAGTTTTTTCCTATATTTAGTAGTTGACGGGATACCCACTAGTAACTGATTTATAAAAAAAATTATAGTCCTTACTTAAAATTTTAATTAATTGTCAAATTAATAAACTCTTAGATGTTTAACTTAATGAATTATAGCCGCCAATTTTGACTCCTTACAAAGATTTAATTTGAGTAGTTCCGTTGTCGTTTGTTTTACCCTTCATTTTATAAAATCGACCCCTACTACTGATTTTATGCAAGTTGTAACTGTAACTATTACACAATTTAAGTTAGTTATTAACATTTACAATAAAGTGTTTGACAATTTAGGTTAGTTATTAACATTTACAGTCTAACAGCTACAGTTTAGTGGGTATTTCACAGATTGATTTTTAATGTTTTTTTAATAGAAGACAAAAATAGGGCAACTTTAGATCTGTTCCCCCAGAAATCGCGATAACTATATGATATAGCATACGAGCCCAGGCTCGTGGGATAGCATGCTTTCTGAAAAGCTAAACACGCTAAACAGCGCTAAACTGGTAGATACAATGCCTACCAGAATTAAAGCTGTTATTCTTAATAAAGGTGTTGTAAACAATTTTGATGAAACGACCGAACTATTCTGAACCGCCAATCACTGCGTAGTAATATTTAATCGTATTTAAGCTAAAAGTTTATACTTTGTGTCTATCACCAATATTTTTATTTTGAGAGTATTATTACTTTTATTTAAATATATTAGTAGTAAAACTATGCCTGGCCGAACTATTATGAGCCTGGGCTCGTATAAAACTCTTATGGAATGATGTAAAATGAAGAAAGGAGCAGACAAGTTTACTGAAAATACAGTGCAATTTTTTTAAACCTGACATAGGCCAACTTTTTTATTTATTAAATGCAAAGTTATAGGAAATAACTTGACTAAGAAATATTTACAAATAATTCTTTCCGATGTTGTCAGATTTCTGCACTAGCTACTAAAACGATATGTTTTTAAATGGCAACACCATATTTTTTTAACATAATTTGACAAACCTTCAAATTCTAAATAGAAAATGTTATGTTATGTCATTTCTTTATTGGAGTAGCCGTTTTCGAACAATCAGCAAAAACAACGAAAATAATCTGTAGTCGGCAGGAACTAAAAGATGGTCACATAGCAAAATTGTGTTATTTGAAAGGCGCTATCATTATTATGCTGCCATTGTGTTATTTGACAGCTGTTTATTTGAATGCGTAAAAAAATAACGTTTTAATTCAGTTGCTAAGATGATTATGAGCCTTTTGCGGATCTTTGGGCACACACTACCAGTTGTTTTTAGTTTTATTAAGTTATATCTTATAAACTCCGGATTTGGAAGAGGCTTATCGGGATGTCTTGCGTGGAATGCAGCGCACGCATTGCGTAGATTTAAGCCACCAACATGAAGAAAAATTCATTCAGCTTTCTCTTGTAAATTAAATAACTGATTCATCTTAACAACTGAATTAAAACATTATTTTTTATACACATTCAAGTACAACAGCTATCAGATAACACGATGATAGTACAATAATGTTAGCTCCTTTAAAACAGCACAATTTTTGTTTAATTTCCAAGGCCTACTATTGCTATGTTACCTTCTTTTAATTCCTGCCGACCATAGATTATTTTCGTTGTTTTGCTGATTGTTCTAAAACGGCTACTCCAATAAAGAAATGTAACATAACAGTTTCTATTTAGAATTTGAAGGTTTGTCAAATATCGTTTTAGTAGCTACTGCAGAAATCTGGCAACACCGGAAAGAATTTGTAAATTTTTCTTAATCAAGTTATTTCCTACGACTTTGCATTTGGAAGTACTAGTCTATTACTTCAAATAAACATGTTGGCCTATGTCAGGTTTCAAAAAAATAGCACTGTATACTTCTGGCTTACTTCGAGGAAA